CAGCATGACTCAATGTGGAAGGTGCACAAAACGCTGTTACCTTCCCACAAAATGTGGTTCCTATTTTTCTACTTGCATTTTTATGTGCTTTCGAACTGCTAGGTTGGCAGAAGCTTGGACAAGTAACGGGAGCTTACTCCGTTATGCAGCGCTAGGGATTCGAACCGCCAAACTGTCAACCTTTTTGATCAACAAACTCAGCATCCTCGCTATTGAGCCACCGCGCCCCTTATCAACAACTCTCTAAAAGGATGTAACCAGTTGCCTGCAAGGTGTATAAATCCTTCCATTGCCCACCATCTTCAGAGCTGAAGAAGCTTCTTGGAGGAGAAGTGAAACCTCTTCAAAGAAAAATCAAAGTCCAGTTGCTTCTTGAAATAGTACCTTTGGGTTCAGAATCAGTAAATACCTCTGGGACATTCATCATAACTTCCAATGGTCACTAAGTGATCATAAGTCATAAGTCAAGGATTACCTTACTGGTTGGGAGCTGCTGATTTCATTTTGGAGCCCTGCTGTGTCAGACTACAGACCCACTGAGTCCAATGTTTTGTCCTTAAGTTGGCCAACCAGGAGATTGTGGGGTGAGGTATAAACACAATTATGTCATAATATCCTCATATGACTGAAACTATCATAATAAACATAAGGATCCTATTATTTTTGTGATGTCATCATGGCATCCCTTGCTCCCCCTGTGCCTCATCCTCACAAGCAGAGCAGGGCAAATAATTCTGCTTGATCTGCATGAATTTATCTCACCTGCTCAGGTTGTCCAAACTGTTGGTCACAGATATCATTGTTTCAATCTGATCTGTGAAAAATGCTTGTCTGCTTAATATATTACTTTTAACAGATTAACAGAGTTGGAAGGGACCTTGTAGGTTATCTAGTCCAACCCCGCACTCAAGCAGGAGACCCTACACCATTTCTGACAAATGGCAGTCCAGTTTCTTCTTGAAAGTCTCAAGTGACGAAGCCTCCACAACTTCTGAAGGCAACTTCTGTTCCTTTGGTTGATTGTTCTCACTGTCAGAAAGTTTCTCCTTGTTTCTAGGTTGAATCTCTCCTTGGTCAGTTTCCATCCATTGTTTCTTGTCTGGCCTTCAGGTGCTTTGGAAAATAGCTTGACCCCCTCCTCTCTATGGCAGCCCCTCAAATATTGGAAGACTGTTATCATGTCTCCCCTGATCCTTCTCTTCTCTAGACTAGCCAAGCCCAGATCCTGCAACCATTCTTCATATGTTTTAGTCTCCGGTCCCCTAATTATCTTGCACTTCTCTTTTCTGCACTTTTTCTAGAGTCTCAACATCTTTTTTATAGTGTGGGTTTTTTTATAGTGTGGTGACCAAAATTGGATGCAGTATTCTAGGTATCATCTTACTAATGCTTTATAGAGTGATATTAGTACCTCACTTGATCCTGATTGAATACCTCTGTTAATGCAATTTAGTATTGTGTTGGCTTTTTTGGCTGCAGCTGCACACTGCTGGCTCATATTTAATTGGTGGTCCACTAAGACTCCACATTTTGGTGGAGTGTATGTGTGAAAGTTTCATATCCTGCTGTGCTCCCATCCTGTTTCAAGCTGGGGTTTATGCACAAGGCCTATTTAAAAACTGAACATCCTGCAAGCCAAGTTAAGATGACATTGGTTGTTTTCAACCCCATCCTACATAGTCAGCCCCACCCAGAACTGGAAATTTATGCAAGTGATCCTCATGTAGAGATTACACTAACAACTCAGTTGTGAAGTGAAATAGTTATTAAGCGAAACCATGACTCTGATTAGGATCAGCTTTCCTTTGCTTTACAGACCTGCGAAGATCATAAATGTGAAGACTGGGTCACAAAATTACTTTTTCAACCCCTTTTACCATCGGTACCTTGGTGCTCAACTGCTTTAAAACTCATCAAATTTGGTACTCAACACATTTTTACACGAACATTTTGTCCCCGTACTCATGGTTTGTTTGGTACTCAATGCACAAGCTAGAACTCATCACACCTGCCAGAACCAATTCATGATGAGTACTGAGGCACCACTGTACGTGCAAGTGGTCACTAAACCAGGCAGTTGCTAAATGAGAACAACTTGTATTTTATTTTCATGATTCCCTCTCTCAAATAGAGAGGCTGCCAACTCTCTCTGTGTCTCTAGGTGGAGTCAGAGAGCAACCATTGAGGCTGTTGCTGAAAAGAAGCAGGTGATGATTGGTGATGCTCAAAACTGAGGAATTGCTGTGAAACGATGCATCAGGGAGCAGCAGCAGGAATCTTTGCTCCCAAAAACAGAGGAGCATCTGCTCTGCAGTCAAGAAGAACAGTTGGCTAGCAGAAAGCTACAGATGCCATCTGAGTATCAGCAACAGAATAACAGAGTTGGAAGGGACCTTGGAGATCTTGTAGTCCAACCCCCTGCTCAAGCAGGAGACTATACCCGTGATGGCGAAGCTATGGCATGTGTCCCAGAGGTGGCACAAAGGGCCCTCTCTGTGGACACATGTGCTGTCGCCAGCTACTCTTCTGGTTTCCGGCATGCACATGCGCTCTGGCCAGCTGGTCTTCGTGCACGCCAGAGCACCAGAAACCCAAAACTAGCTGGCCGGTGCTCATGCATGCACCAGTCACTTGGTCTTCAGTATTTCCAGCACGTGCATGTACGCCGGCCAGCTGGTCTTCAGGTTTCTGGTGCTCTGTCGCGTGCACACATGCATGCACACACATTTCGGTTTGGGCAATCGGTGTCGAAAAGGTTCACCACCATTGTCCTATACCATTTCAGACAAATGGTTTTCCAATTTCTTCGTAAAAGCTTCCAGTGTTGGAACATTATCACTTCTGAAGGCAATGAATCGTTCCACTGATTGATTGTTCTAACTGTCAGGAAATTTCCCTTTAGTTCTAAGTTGCTTCCCTCCTTGATTAGTTTCCACCCATTGCTTCTCAGGTGCCTTGGAGTATAGTTTGACTCCCTCTTCTTTGTGGCAACCCCGAGATATTGAAAGATTGCTATCATGTCTCCCCTAGTCCTTCTTTCTATTAAACTAGATATACCCAGTTCCTTCAACTGTTCTTCATATGTTTTAGCCTCCAGTACCTGGATTGGCACCAAAGCAGCGCTTAGTTAGTATCCAAGACCAGACAAAGCTCAGGTTTTTCCAGGTATCTGTGCTGTCCGACAATCCTGGCTGAAGAGCACCCTAAAAGGAAGCAGAATGCAATGGGGTCTTGGTTCTAGTTTTCTGGGCATGCACAGATTTCTCTGAGTGTTGCGTTCATGCCCATCTTGCAAATTAGGAGGAGCCGAGAGACAGCTCTCACAAATCACCCTGTGAGCTCAATGCTCAAGTGGAAATTTGAACCCAATCCTGCTTAACCTTTGAACTACAGCTCCAAATGCATTTTAAAAGTAAGGAGCCCTCGAGCAAAGAAGAGACGAATTGGACGGCATTAAAAGCTTTTAGGGAGCATCTTGGAAAGTGGCAATTGCAAGCTTTTGTGTTGTTGTCCTTCTTAACGCCATTAACACCTCCACTCCGTGTTAGTAGTATCCCTGTCTTAATCCAGCACTCAAAACATTGCACCACTATTGTGTTCTGTGTTTTTCAAAATGAATTATTTTGTAGACCAGCTTTTAAAAATGAACCACTATTCTTTTTCATCAAATATGATGGCCGATTAATGTTTTGCAAAATGAAACACACAGATTTTATTAGAAAGGGGGGGGGACCGCTTTTCTGCACAATTCTGGCAAATGAAACAGACTTGCAACTGAAGACTTAATGACATCCTGTCCAAAGCCATCCAGAAGGGTAGAAAAACATCTGGCATGGGGAAATTTGTTTTCAAGGACGGAGAAAAAAAACCATGATTGCTAAATGACTCCTAAATGGATCAGAACTCAAAGAAGAATAGAAGGACAGATCCCAAAACAATGAGGGTGTATATAATTTTTTTCTGGGTTTTAAATGGCTTGCTGAGTAGTCGCCTGCCCAAACATAGTGCCACTGATATCAAGTAAACGGCATTTATATTACTGTTTCAGGAATTGTTTGGAGGGTGTGCTGCAGCGATGGGCTCCTACTGGTTTGGACCGGTTCGGCTGAATCGGTAGTGGTTTGGCAGGCTGGATTGCTGGAACCGTCTGCGACCCAGGCCTGCCACGCCCTCAAACCGGTTCTCCGTGCGGAGCCATAGGTGCCGCCATCTTGTTTTTCAGTTCTGCCCATGCGCAGAACAATTTTAATTGCACACATTTAATTCCTCTGCCCATTTTTTAACTTTTTGCACATGCCCAGACCTATTTATGGTCAACTGTGCACACGCACGAAGCGCAACAAAATTATGAGCACATGGAACCGGCAGTCACGCTGGCAGCAACCCACCCCTGAGGTGCTGCCCACAACTATCCAGTTCTGTTTCAGAGGCCCTAATCTCTAAAACAGGGGTTCTCAAACTTTTTAAACAGGGGGCCAAGTCATGGTCCCTCAGAGTGTTGGGGGGGAAGGACATATCGGCTGGGTGGGTGTGGCTAGGTGGTCATGTGACTGGGTGCATGTGGCCAAATATAGTAGTCTATTTAACAATGGACGCAAATTAAACTTTAATTTGTTATGCTCCTTGGGGTGGAAAGCAGGTTAGTTAAGAGATGTGGCTGCTTTTGGGGGGGGGGCTGTGAGGGACTTCTGTTTGTGTCTGTCTGTCTGTCTCTCTCTCTCTCTCTCTCCCTCCCTCCATCTATCTGTATCTCTGGAGGCAGGGAGCAGGGGTGAAATCCAGCAGGTT